CCAGACACACACAGGGCTCCAGACACACACAGAGCTTCAGACACAAGGGCTCCAGAGACACACGGGGCTCCAGACACACACAGAGCTTCAGACACAAGGGCTCCAGAGACACACGGGGCTCCAGACACACACAGAGCTTCAGACACAAGGGCTCCAGAGACACACAGGGCTCCAGAAACACACACAGCTTCAGACACAAGGGCTCTAGAAACACACACAGAGCCCCAGACACACACAGGGCTCCAGACACACATACAGCTTCAGACACAAGGGCTCCAGAGACACATGGGGCTCCAGAAACACACACAGAGCCCCATGCACAGGAATCCAGATACACATGGCGCTCCAGACATACACAGGAGTTCAGACACACACGGAGCCCCAGACACAAGGGCTCCAGAGACACACAGAGCTCCAGATGCACACAGAGCTGCACACACCTGGACCTCCAGAAATAAGGGCTCCAGACAAGAGCTCAAGACACACACGGGGCTCAAGACACACATGCAGCTCCAGACACAAGCGCTTCAGACACACACAGTCTCCACACACACACACGGAGTTCCAGACACACACGGAGCTCCACACTCAAGAGCTCCAGACACACACGGAGCCCTAGATACAAGGACTCCAGACACACAAGGGCTTCAAACACACACAGAGCTCCAGACACACACGGAGCCTCACACACAAGGGCTCCAGACACACATGGAGCTCCAGACACAAGGGGTCTAGACACACACGGAGCCCCAGACACAAGGACTCCAGACACACAAGGGCTTCAGACACACACGGAGCTCCAGATACAAGGGCTCCAGACGCACACGGGCTCCAGATACACACTGAACTCTAAGCACGCTTTTCCCTTTTGGTTTTTTTTGAAAGGGAGTCTCACTCTGTCAGCTAGAGCTACATGGATTATCTGAGCTCAGGATTATAGTGGCTTGATCTTAGCTCACTGCAACCTCTGTCTCCAGGGTTCAAGCGATTCTCCTGCCTCAGCCTCCCAAGTAACTGGAATTACAGGGACGCGCCACTACGCGCAACTAATTTTGTATTTTTAGTCAGGACGGGGTTTCATCATGTTGGCTAGGTTGGTCTTAAACTCCCGACCTCAGGTGATGATACACTTACCTAAGCCTCCCAAAGAGCTGGGATTACAGATGTGAGCCATCACACCCGGCTAATTTTTGTATTTTTAGTAGAGATGAGGTTTCATCATATTCATCAGGCTGGTCTCGAACTCCTGGGCTCCCAAAGTTCTGGGGATACAGGTGTGAGCCACCATGCCTGGCCTCCCTTTTGTTTATTTTTTTGCTGAGTCATAGGTTAGGAATTCTGGATTGAGCAAATACATGCATATTTTCTAGATGATGGGTGCCAGATTTGGTATTCCAAGTAAAGACAGATGCAAATAGGGAAAAAATCCTTCAAGGCCGCCTTGCAGGGAAAACATAAAAATGAAAAGAGGAGGCTGGATGCAGTGGCTCATGTCTGTCATCCCAGCACTTTGGGAGGCCGAGGTGGGTGGGTCACCTGAGGTCAGGAGTCCAAGACCAGCCTGGCCAACATGGAAAAACCCAATCCCTGCTAAAAACACAAAAATTAGCGGGGTGCAGTAGTGTGCATCTATAATCTCGCTACTGGGGAGGCTGAGGCAAAAGAAGCACTTGAACCCAGGAGGCAGAGGTTGTAGTGAGCAGAGATCATACCACTACACTCCAGCCTAGGCAATAGAGACTCTCTCTCATTAAAAAAAAAAAAAAAAAAAAAAAAAAAAGGAGGATGGATGGGATGACCCTGTGGTGTTGGCCTGTGATGGTGCTATTGAGCCAGAGCGCACGGGCTTTAACATTGAACAGATGAATGGACAGGCGACACAAACGCACACATACACCCGAAACCAACACAACTGCCCAGAGACGGCGAGAACTGGACGGCGCCCACAGTGACCTCATCTTGGTTTCTAAATATCATTCTCCACTAAAGGGGCTGGGTGCAGCGACCCACACCTGTAATCCCAGCACTTTGGGAGGATAAGACAGGTGGATTACCTGAGCTCAGGAGTTCGAGACTAACCTGGGCAACAGAGCGAAACCCCATCTCTACTAAAAATATAAAAATTACCTGGGTGTTGTGGCAGGTACCTGTAATCCCAGACACTCAGGACGGTGAGACACGAGAATCGCTTGAACCCAGGAGGCAGAGGTTGCAGTGAGCCGATACTGTGCCATTGCACTCCAGCCTAGGCAAAGAGCGAGACTCTGTCTAAAAAATAAAACAAAATAGGCTGGGCACGGTGGCTCACGCCTATAATCCCAGCACTTTGGGAGACTGAGGCGGGTGGATCACGAGGTCAAGAGATCGAGACCATCCTGGTCAACAAGGTGAAACCCCGTCTCTACTAAAAATACAAAAATTAGCTGGGCATGGTGGTGCGTGCCTGTAATCCCAGCCACTCAGGAGGCTGAGGCAGAAGAATTGCTTGAACACAGGCGGCAGAGGTTGCGGTGAGCCGAGATCGCGCCACTGCACTCCAGTCTGGGTAACAAGAGCGAAACTCCATCTCAAAAAACAAGATAAAATAAAACAAAACAAAAAATAACAGCAACAAATCTCTTTCTCCACTAAAATCAATCAGGATCCTTGGAGAAATAACTGATTCTAGGGCTGGGGTGGGAACAATACCAGGTGAGCCTGTCACATTAGCTGGGCCAGCAAGTCTGTGCTCCAGGAATGGACTGGGCGCCAGCCGAGGGCAGGCTCATGCACTTGGAAAGGCAGCGTAAAAGACACGGTCGACGATTCAAACCCCCATGAAAACAAGAGCCCATGAGGCCACACTGAGGAACCAACAGCAAAGGAGGGAAGTTGTTCCCAGTACAAACCCAGTCCGTGATCATCAGAGGAGGGACGGGATTAGAAGCCACCATCTGGCAACCATCACAACAATCCTAATAACCACAACTGAGTCACCAATGGACACCACAGCTACTGAGTCAAAGCTCAGAGGCAGCAGCTATGGAATCTCAAGACAAATCCAGCCCTATGAGACACGTATCCATTACAGAGGGAAAGCTACGCGCGCATGAAGGGTAAAAGACAAACGTGTCCTGCGAGGAGACGGGGACACAGGGAGGGAGCAGCAGCATCCTCCAGAGACCTGAGGACTTGTACTTCAGTCTGATACCTTGGTGCAGGGATGGGCAAATAAACAAATGCAAAAAAATAAGGGCCTCAAAGGCCAGGCACGGTGGTGGCTCACGCCTGTAATCCCAGCACTTTGGGAGGCCAAGGTGGGCGGATCATGAAGTCAGGAGTTTAAGACCAGCCTAACATGGAGAAACCCCATCTCTACTAAAGATACAAAATTAGCCAGGCGTGATGGCGAATGCCTATAATCCCAGCTACTGAGGAGGCTGAGGAAGGAGAATCGCTTTAACCCAGGAGGCAGAGGTTGTGGTGAGCTGAGATCACACCATTGCACTCCATCCTGGGCAATAAGAGCGAAACTCTGTCTCAAAAAAAGAAGAAAAGAAAAAAAGAATAAGGGCCTTGAAATAGGTCTAGCATATATAGGCCGGGCACGGTAGCTCATGCCTGTAATCCCAGCACTTTTTTGGGAGGCTAAGGCAGGAGTATCACTCGTGGTCAAAAGTTTAAGACTAGCCTGGCCAACATGGAGAAACCCTACTAAATACAAAAATCAGCTTCATGTGGTGGTGAGGGCTGGTAGTGCCAGCTACTTGGGAGGCTGAGGCAGGAGAATTGCTTCAATCTTGGTGACGGAGGCTTCAATGAGCCAAGACTGCACCACTGCACTCCAGCCTGAGTGACAGAGCAAGACTGTCTCAAAAAAAAACAAAAATAGGTCTAGCACATGCACAATTCTGACCCACACAGGCGATACCATGAATTGTTGACGAAGGAAACGTATTCAGTCTACGATACCAGGCTGTGGAAGAGAGAAACTGGATTTTGATTCCGTATCAGTTGACAACAATAATTAGTAACACTGACACAGCCCTCACTGTGGTGCTGGAGGAGGCCTCAGCACTCTGCACAGCAGTGAGTCCCCGAAACAGCCCTCTGGGAAAGGCGAGGTCATCACCCATGTGAGACACAAAGTGAAGATATAGCTTCATAGCAGGATTTGAACCCAGGCGGCCTGCTCTTACGTGAAACCTGTATGTGTAAAACCCTATGATCAGGAAAATGTGTAAGAGAATGTCTTCCTGACTCTTTTTAGGGTAGGACAAGAATATCTCCAACCAAACCCCAAAAGCATGACCCATAAAAAAAAAAAAAAGTCAGACTGACTAAATTGGCTAAATGAAGAATTTTGTTTCACCAAACTATACCACAAAGTGGGCTGTGGCGCAGTGGCTCACACTTGTAATCCCAGCACCTTTGGAGGCCAAGGTATGTGAATCACTTGAGGTCAGGAGTTCAAGACCAGCCTAACCAACAGGAAAAAATCTTGTCTCTACTAAAAATATAAAAATTAACTAAGTGTGGTGGTGTGTACCTGTAATCCCAGCTACTCAGGTGGCTGAGGCAGAGAACTGCTTGAACCCTGGAGGCAGAGGTTGCAGTGAGCTGAGACTGCACCACTGCACTCCAGCCTGGGTGACAAAGAAAGACGCTGTCTCAAAAAAAGAAAAAAAAAGGCATGTCTGTAATCTCAGCACTTTGGAACTTAGGCAGATAACCTGAGGCTGGGAGTTTGAGACCAGCCTGCCCAACACGGCAAAACCTCATCTCTACTAAAAATGCAAAAAAAATTAGCCAGGTGTGGTAGTGGGCTCCTGTAATCCCAGCCACTTGGGAGACTGAGGCAGGAGAATCACTGGAACCCAGGATGCGGAGGTTGCAGTGAGCCGAGATCTCGCCATTGCACTCCAGCCGGGGCGAAAAGAGGGAGACACTGTCTCAGAAAAAAAAAAGAGGAAGGTGCATGTTCCTTCTCTACTGCCCTGTAACAGTCACTCCACACTTACCAGCTCAAAACAAGTGCTTTTGATCTTGGCTCCTGTGAGTAGGAATCTGGAGGAATCTTAGCCAGGTGCCTCGGGTTTACAGTTCCTCTTGAAGCTGCAGTCATACCATGAACCAGGGCTGTGGCCTCATCTGAAGGCTCGACTGGGGCTGGGCTCCGCCTCTGAGCTCACTCACACGGGCTGGCATGCAAGGTTGAGTTCCATGCTGGCTGTAGGTGGAAATCCTCCAACCAGTTTCTTGCCAGGTGAGCTTCTCCACAGGATGCCCACAGCCTGGCAGGGGCTTTCATCACAGCAAGCTCACCAGGCAGTGAGAGAGAGCACCCAGGACAGGTGTCCCAGGCTTTCTCAACCTCATCTCAGACGTGACATCTTTCCTTTCCACTGTCTGGGTGCAAGTCTCCAGGTGGAGCCCTAGGTCTAAAAGGAAAAGAAAACCTTGATTTAACATGGGATAAAGCCTCAGGAGCTGCTGGTCCCAACACAGCACTGGGTTACTGACCAAGCTCACTTTCCACCCCACCCAACTGTGCGAACCTCCCCTGCCCAGGCCCCTGTACCAGAGGTTAAGAATCCGAGCTCCAGTCACAAAGTCCAGGTGGGTTCAAACAGCCAGAAGGGCCTTTCAGGCAAAATGTGTCCCAAATCTCCAAACCATGCCCAGAGCTCAAACCTCCCCAGGGAGGTCATCCCAAGGAAACCACCTGGCAGAGGCTCAGGCTGCGGGGCTGACGCCACTTCCAAAACCCAGAAGCTGGAGACCACACAAGCGCCTAACGCCAAAGGTGCCAGTGGAGGGATGCCCTGTGCCCCCAGCCAGGTGACTCGCTGCGCCCTACACATTGCACCAGGAAACATCTGTGACAGACGCAGACAAAGCCAGCCTGGACTCCCAGATCCACTCATTTTTATTCCCCTCTATTTTCTGATTTGCTATATTGAAAACACGTGAGTGGAGGGGAAAGCCTTCCTATTCCTCTCTCAGCAACCCCTTTTCTTGCTCTGTCTCCCAGGTTGGAGGGCAGTGGTGCAATCTCCGCCTCCCAGGATCAAGCAATTCTCCTGCCTCAGCCTCCTGAGTAGCTGGGATTACAGGCGTGTGCCACCACGCCTGGTTATTTGTATTTTTGGTAGAGATGGGGTTTCACCATGTTGGTCAGGCTGGTCTCGAACTCCTAACCTTGTAATCCGTCTGCCTCGGCCTCCCAAAGTGCTAGGAATATAAGTGTGAGCCACCGCGCCCAGTCGACCCTTATTAAAACACTGTCTCGTTTGGCCTTAAAATGTGATTTGTAGGCTTCTGGGTTAAGTAGGTTATACGCCACTAAAAAAAAAAAAAAAAAACTAAACTAAAAAAATTAAAAAGCACCAAACGGGGACTCGGCTCTCAGGAGTTTTGTGTCTCGTTCTTTTTTCTTTTCTTTTTTTTTCTGTGTGGACGCGCCACACAGCGTTCCTGGGCTTCAGGGCGCGAGGGTCGCCGTGGACCCACGGACGCGAAAATGCGCAAACTCGTTTGGGAAACGCCACGGGCTCCCGGGCAGAAGCTGAGGGGTACGAATCCAGGGAGACCCCGCGTTTCCGCAGCGTTTTCCCCGCAAACCGCCGGCCATACGAGAGGACCCCCAGAAGCGAATCTGGGCCCGGGAACCCAGGGCGCCCGCGAACTCAGCCCCAGTACCGGCACGCAGCACCGAGCACCCAGCACGCAGCACCCACCGACAGCCGGTCGCAGTCTCCGCTGCAGGCATGGCGCTCGGCCTCCGCGCCTTCGCAACAAAGAGACGCTGGCGGGCGGGGCCTGAGAGGCGCGCGGCGAAGGCAGTTCGGAGCACAGGCCTGGCGGACCCAGGTGGGCTTCACGGGGAGCCCGCGGAGCCGGAAATGACGCGTAGATCCCGTCACCGGGCTCCTCGCTGCCCCACGGGCGTGGCCGCGGAGAAGCGCCGCAGCCCACAACGTCCCCGCGGCTGCGCGTTGGTTCCGTTCGGGCCATTCCACTGTAGGCAGTTGGGGGCGGAACACGGCGACCTTTTCGGTGACCCCGCGGCCGCCCGTTGGTTCCGCTCGGGCCATTCCACTGAAGGTAAATGAGGGGGAGAACACGGCGAGATTTTTAGTGTTTCCCCGCGGCCGCCCGTTGGTTCCGCTCCGGCCGTTCCACTGAAGGTAAATGAGGGGGAGAACACGGCGAGATTTTTAGCGTTCTCGCGCGACGGCCCGATGCTTCCGCCCGGGCCGTTGCACCGCAGGAGACGCGGAGGAACACGGCGCGCTCAGATCCTCCCCACCCCGCCGCCGCCCGTTGGTGACGCCCGGGCCTTTCCACTGCAGACGGACGGGGGAGGCATGGCGCGCTCAGCGCACCCCCGCGGCCGTCCGTCAGTTCCGCCCGGGCTGTGCCACCGCAGGCACTTTAGGGCGGGATCTGTCAGTCTGTGGACACAGCGGCCTCGGAGGGTTTGCCACCCAGGTCTGGGTTCAAGGAATAGGAAATCCATCGGGTAGGCTTAACTTAGAAGACTCAAAAGGCATCTCCTGGCGGAAGTGGCCACGCTCCGCCCAGCGCGAGGGGAAGCGTTGGGAGCAAGCTGGGCTCGGAGCCGCAGGGGGCGGGGCCTCCGCGCCCCTGGACCCCGCCCCAGGGTGCTGATTGGCTTATGGCGCGCTCCGGGGCGTGGCCTCCGCTGCCAGGCAGGCGCCGGGGGCTTTTGGGGAGACGTCCCGAGCAGACACACCTGCGGTCCGGAGGAGCCTGGCAGCGGACCTTTGTCAAAGGTTTTCCTCGCCTTACTTGCCCGCATAATTTTCAGTAACGAACTTTCGGCTGAAGGGCTCTTTAGAGATTATTTTTGACGGGGTGCAGTGGCTCACACCTGTAATTCCAGCACTCTGGGAGGCCGAGGTGGGCGGATCGCCTGAGGTCAGGAGTTCGAGACCAGCCTGGCCAACATGGCGAAACCCCGTCTCTACTAAAAATACAAAAATTAGCCGGGCGTGATGTTTTTGAGACGGAGTCTAGCTCTGTTGCCCAGGTTGGAGTGCAGGGGCTCGATCTTGGCTCACTACAACCCCTGCCTCTTCAACCTCCACCTCCCAGGTTCAAGCAGTTCTCTCTCTGCCTCAGCCTCTCAAGTAGCTGGGATTACAGGTGCCCGCCACCACACCTGTGGTGGCTAATTTTTTTCTATTTTTAGTAGAGACTGTGTTTCACCATATTGGCCAGGCTGGTTTTGAACTTCTGATCTCGTGATTTACCCGCCAAGGCCTCCCAAAGTGCTGGGATTACAGCTGTAAGCCACAGTACCCTGCCTCTCAAAATTTTTATAGCAAAGCCTTATATTTCATGAGGGACCATGCATTTTATCTTTAAAATGGGGTTCTTCATGCTTTGCCCAGGCTGGTCTCAAACTCAGGACCCTCTGGCCTCAGCCTCCCGAGTAGCTGGGTCTGCAGGTGGCCGCCACTATGCTGGGCTTGGGCTGTGCATTTTAATGATTTTGGAATGTCAGGGAGGCCAGAGTACCTTCCTTTCTTTTCTCTCCTGGAAAGGACCTCCCACCTTGGCTTCCCAAAGTGCTGGGATTACAGGTGGGAGCCACCATGCCACACCTCTCTTTGCTATTTTGCCTGGGAGGGGTGTATTAATAATTTTAATTTTGATTTTCTTTGATTATGTTTCAGTTTGATTATTGATCATTTACTTCTTAGCTAATTAGAGTTTTCCTTAAATCACCAGTTTCTACCCTTCGATAGTTTTTCCTTTTTTTTTTTTTGGAGACAGAGTCTCGCTTTGTTGCCCAGGCTGGAGTGAAGTGACACAATCTCGGCTCACCGCAACCTTTGCCTTCCGGGTTCAAGCAGTTCTCCTGCCCCAGCCTCCTGAGTAGCTGGGATTACAGGTGCCCACTGCCATGCCCGCTATTTTTTTTTTTTTTGTATTTTTTAGTAGAGTTGGGGTTTCACCATATTAGCCAGGCTGGTCTCAAACTTCTGACCTTAAGATCTGCCTGCCTCGGCCTCCCAAAGTGCTGGGATTACAGGCATGAGCCACTGCACCTGGTGACAGCCTTTCTCTCGTGTTTGTATGAATGACATGGGCTCTATCTGTACTGAGAACACGGACCTGCTGTATCGTTGCAGATGTTTTCCTAGCTTGCATGTCCTCTTCTGTTTATGATGCATATTGATGAATTTCTATTCACATGACGTGGAATCAGTTAGGAATCAGGAAGCCTTGGCTGTGAGCGAGACTGATGGGTCCAGGCACGGTTCAAACCCCGCCCCCAAAGCGTGTCCCTGGCTCCCTGGGATCCTCCAGGATCTGCTGCTCTTTGGACACAGCCCGGGCAGAGCCCTCCACAGCCTTCCTCTGCCTGTCTGATGTCTGATGACCTCAGGAAAGGGTCTTCCCAGGGGGAGGGGCCCTTGGGATTCCTTTCCTCTGCCTTCAGGACCTGGGTGATCTTCTAGAAGGTGGGAAGGAAAGCAGTCATGGCTAGTTCTGCGCCGCCCCTGCAAGGTCCCCCCCGGCCCACAGACTCCTCTGTGTCCCCCAGCCAGGCTCAGTCTAGGTCTGGGCTCCCTCTGGATAGGGAGGGTGAGACCTGCCCTCCCAGAGGAGCTGAAGTTCCCCAAGGGATGTTGAGGACAGCAGAGAGGCGTGGACAGAGACCCCAGAGAGTGGGGTCTGTGTTAGGGTCCGGCGGGTGGGGAGGAAGAGCAGAGGGTCCCCTCCTGGAGACCCAGCCTGCAGGCCACTCGGCCACCTGCCGGGGTGTGGGGGAGCAGCAGCCGCTCACGTCTCTGCAATTTGTCCTCATCAGCAAGTGGGTAAACTGAGGCCAGGGAGTTCTGCAGGCCAGGGTCACTCATGGGCAGGTTCCCTCAGCCTGCGGACCTTCCACGCTCAGGCCGGTCATGCTTTCCTGGGCCATCCTGTTTCCCAGAGCACACTGCTGTGTGTCTCCGAGTGTGTGTGCGTCTATGGCATCCATGTGTATTTTTCTGTGTCTGAGTCTGTGTGGTGTGTGTGTATCTGTGTGTCTATGAGTGTGTGTGTCTCAGTGGCATCCATGCGTATTTGTGTGTGTGTGTGTCTGTGTGTGTGAATCTATGTGTGTGTCTGTGTCTCTGTATGTGTGTCTCTGTGTATGTGAATCTGTGTGTTTGTGTGTGTGTGTCTGTGTGTGGAATCTGTGTGTGTGTCTGTATGCGTGTGTGAATCTGTGTGTGTCTGTGTCTCTGTGTATGCGAATCTGTGTCTGTGTGTGTATGTGAATCTGTGTGTGTGTGTCTCTGTGTATGTGAATCTGTGTATGTGTGTCTGTGTGGAATCTGTGAGTCTGTGTGTGTCTGTGTATGTGAATCTGTGTGCGTCTGTGTGAATGTGTGTGAGTCTGTGAATGTGTGTCTGTGTGTGTATGTGAATCTGTGTGTGTGTGTGAATCTGTGTGTATGTGAATGTTTGTGTGTGTGTCTGTGTGACTCTGTATGAGTCTGTCTCTGTATGTAAATCTGTGTGTTTGTATGTATGTGTCTCTGTGAATCTGTGTGTGTGTGTCTCTGTATGTGAATGTGTCTGTGTGAATCTGTGTTTGAGTCTGTGTCTCTGTGTATGTGAATGTATGTGTCTGTGAATCTGTGTGTGTCTCTGGGAATCTGTGTGTGTGAATCTGCGTGTGTCTGTGTATGTGAATCTGTGTGTCTGTGTGTGAATCTGTGTGAGTCTGTGTCTGTATGTGAATCTGTGTGTATGTCTGTGTGTCTGCAAGTCTGTGTGTCTCTGTGTATGTGAATCTATGTGTGTCTGTGTCTTTGTATGTGAATCTGTGTGTCTGTGAATCTGTGTCTGTATATGTGAATCTGTGTAAATCTGTGTGTGTCTCTATGTGAATCTGTGTGTGTGAATCTGTGTGTGTATGTGAATCTGTGTCTCTGTGTATGTGAATGTGTGTCTGTGTGAATCTGTCTCTGTGTCTGTGAATGTGTGAATCTGCAAGTGTCTGTGTCTCTGTGTATGTGAATCTGTTTGTATGTTTGTGTGTCTGTGTGAATCTGTCTATGTAAATCTGTGTGTCTGTGTATGTGAATCTGTGTCTCTGTGTATGTGAATCTGTGTGTCTGTATGAATCTGTGTGTCTGTGAATCTGTGTATGTCTGTGTGAATCTGTCTCTGTGTCTGTGAATGTGTGAATCTGCGTGTCTGTGTCTCTGTGTCTGTGTGAATCTGTGTGTCTGTGTCTGTATGTGAGTCCGTGTTTGTGTATGTGTGTGTCTGTGAATCTGTGTCTATGTGTCTGTGTATGTCTATGTGTCTGTGTATGTGAATGTTTGTATGTTTGTGTGTGTGAATCTGTGTGTCTCTGTGTATGTGAATGTGTGTCTGTGTGAATCTGTGTCTATGTGAATCTGTGTGTCTGTGTGAATCTGTGTGTCTGTGTATGTGAATCTGTGTGTCTGTGTCTCTGTGTATGTGAATCTGTGTGTTTATATGTCTGTGTCTCTGTATGTGTGTGTGTCTCTGTGTGTGTGAATCTGTATGTGTATTTGTCCGTCTTTCTGTCTGGCTTCCTGTCCCCTCTGCACAGAGCAGCAGGGTGGGGATCTTGATCCTGGGGGCTTCTCAGCAGGATGTGGGCCTGGGCAGCCATGGTGAGGCCTGAGCACAGGCCCACATGCCTACTGTGTGGGGGTGGCCAAGCCAGCTCCTCTGTGGCTCTCGGGTCCCCACCACCCCTCCCTGGGCGCTGCCTCCCGTCCACCTTGCTTCCACAGGGGCCACCTTCCTCTTTCAGGTGCATGCCCTGGTGGTGGGGGCTCCTGAGGAGGTGGTGGCCTCTGTTTACTGTGTCTTGGCTTTTTGGTGTCGCCAGACCCTGCAGGCAGCCCAGGCCCTGGCCGAGGTCCTACTGGGGTGGGATGTGCTGGAAGCGGCTGAACCACAGTGACCAACCGACTAGCTCCTGCCTTCCCCTGCGTTCCCAGCACCGCCAACCTTCCCGGGCACCCTGTACCCATCTGCCCTGCTCTCCCCAATCCTGCCACCCACCTCCAAGCAGACTTCCAGTTCCAGGGTCCAGGCCGCCTGGGCTCCCAGCGGGACAGGCCTCGCCCAGACCCCGCAGGTCCTGTGGGACTTGGGCTGGGTCTTTGGGCCTGGCTGCCGCCTTTGGCCTGGCCTGAGGAGACACCATGGCTGAGGGACACAGGATGGGGGTGCCCGGCCCAGCACAGAGGTACCCAGGGTGCAGGCAGGGACGCCGATGCCACCGCTTCAGGCTGGAAAAGTTTCTAAGGCATGGAGCCTGAGGCTGGCAGCCTTGTGCAGCCACACCCATGGGGTGGGGCCAGAGGATGTCTTGGGGCCTCTCTGCTCCCAAAGCCAGGAAGGTTAAGGCTTGATTGACAGCTCCTTCCAGGCGTGGGGAGGCAGGGAGGCTCCAGGGCTGATCCTCAAGAGCCAGTAGGGATGGGCCCACAGCCCAGGCTTTCAGGTCCCCAAAACAGCAGGATGCCAGGGGCACAGGTGCCCACA